TAAAAGTAAAATATGTCAGTGGGGGCTCATCACCAATGGTTTTGGGTGGATGTAGACAAATAGGATACATAGAGCGTGGCTTAGTGTTTCTGGGAACCTGACATGTGAGAAGGAAATACTCCAGGTGATACCCTTTTGCCTTTTCTAAACGCATGTCAGAGACTAGAGATCAGAGGGGGAACTTTGATCCCTCGAGGAGACCTGTACATTTGCATAGCCCCCCATGTTTGACTGATAATAACCCATTTAACCTCAGAGATGGTAGCAGCAGAGGGAGTGGTGGAGTAGTGAGAGTTCTTGGACCCAAAGTTTCTGGACTTTAAGTGCTTGGATCCAGTGTGGAGAGACAGTGACTGAAACATGTAGCAGCTGTACATGTTCTCAGCCATGTGGTTCTAGGAGAGGACAAATGACATTCATAGGTAGTAGGAATTCTTGATTTTTAATCTTTGAAGAGAGAAAGGGAATTCCTGGACAGGGCCAGCCTGGACTTTCCCCTCTAAAAACCTCAAGTTTGAGAGTCCCTGGATCCAGCGTTCCATAGAAAGAAAGGGAAGTTTCTGGTCAGTGTCAGCCTTGTGGGGGAGAAAATGATCTTGTAGGTGGCCCCAGGAGCAGGAAGAATAGCAAAGGACTAAAGTCATGACTTGAGGGAACAAAAGACCTAGACTTTACCTTCCATCTCTGAGATAAAAGACCTCAGAAGCCATATAAAAGAAGCTAGTCAGTGGAATCATCATTGTGATCTATATGCCTCATCCATAAAGATGGTAAGGAAGAAAATAGAGAAGAGCTAGATCTGTGTAGACTATGAAACATTGAACAGGAGAATCATACAAATGCACTATGCCATGAGTCTAAGATGTACTGTGGACTGTTTGAAGATTGAAGAGATGGGAAATAGACTTCTACTAAGGAATGAAGTTTGACATGAAACTGGAGCTAGGAAGTATTTGGAATGTTACATTTTATGATATTGATTTTTGCTATGATTTCTTGTAATTTAATTAAACCAGTCATTTCATTATGACCATCAAGGTTTGAGAATCTAGGTCAAGAAGGAATAGGAGGACCCAGCAATACCACTTCTAGGTGTGCGTCCCAAAGAGATCATAAAAATGGGAAAAGGACCCACATGTACAAAAATATTTATAGCAGCTCTTTTTGTGGTGGCAAAGAATTGGAAATTAAGAGGATGCCCAGCAATTGGGGAATGGCTGAACAAGCTGTGGTATATGAATGTAATGAAATCCTATTGTGCTATAAGAAATGATGAGCAGGCAGACTTCAGAAAAAACCAGGAAAGACTTGTATGGACTGATGCTGAGTGAAGTGAGCAGAATCAGGAGAATGTTGTACACAGTAACAGCCACATTGTACCATGACTGACTTTGATAGACTTGGCTCTTTTCAGCAATGTGAGGATCTAAGACAACTCCAAAAGACTCACTATGGAAAATGCTGTCCCCATCCAGAGAAAGAACTGTGGAGTCTGAATGCAAATGGAAGCATACTATTTGCTCTCCTTTTTCCTTTGTTGTTTTGTTTTATTGCTTCATTTCTCCCATTAGCTATAATTGTTCTTTCTATCATGACTAATGGGAAAATATGCTTAATATGAATGTATAAGTAGGGCCTATATCAAATTGCACACCATCTTGGGGGACAGTAGAGGGAGGGGGAGAAAATTTAAAACTCAAAATCTTATGGAAATGAATGTTGAAAACTAAAAATGAATTTTTTTTTTAAAAAAAGAAGGAATAGTGGCAGCTAGGTGGTGCAGTAAATAGAGCACTGGCCCTAAAGTCAGGAGGACCTGAGTTCAAATCTGGCCTCAGACCAAACACTTGACACTTACTAGCTGTGTGACCCTGGGCAAATCACTTAACCCCAATTGCCTAAAAAAAAAAAAAGGAATAGGAGAGGTCAGTAGGACCAGGGTGCAGAACTATGACTGAAAGATCATGACTGGCACATACTTGTAGATAAAAAGCCCAGAACATCTATCTCAGTGGAGACAGCATTGTTGTTTCTTTGTCCTTCATTATCAAAGAGGACCATGATATCAGGAAGGTGCTGCCATGACTTGCAAGTGAATTGAATCTAAGTGAAGGAGGGCTGTACAAAGTCACTAGCCTCATTCTCTCCTCCAGAACCATCTGGGTCCAGTGGTAAGATATAGATCAGGACAACTGGAGATGGCCTCAGATGCAGCTGGAACCTTGGCCTTTTTAAGCTAAGGTCTTTCCCAGGTCTCAGTTTGACTGAGGCAACACCCACTCAGTGACTAAGGCTAGGTAAGAAGTGAGACTAAGAATGGCCTCTTTTACCTAGTCAAAAAAAAAAAAGTCAATCTGGCCAAAACGGAAGCAATTATTATTTACATTCACTCTGAGCCGTGGAGGCCCAAACAGTGACCCACTGTTGGCCAATTGGTCAGAGCCAGAGTGATTTGCCTCATATCTTACCTAGGCTTAATCACTGAATGGGAGAGAAGTGCTGAATGATGGATAGCCTTATTGTCTAAGACCCTGACTGTTAACAGAATCCAGGAAGTTAAACTTCTTATATCACATTCTGCTCTGTATCCGTACTTGGGCATATGTCTTATCCTCCCTATTAGACTGTAAGGCCCTTGAAAATAGATTTATTTTTCTTCCATGTGTCTGCATAGCATTGAACAGTACCTGGTATATAAGTGCTTAATAAGTCTGTGTTGAATTGAATTATATAGGTGGAAGAAGTACCCGAACTCCTGAAATAATGGATCCATCAAAGTAAACTATGCAAGTTCATATCATGCAAATTGAGATAGAAGAGCTCTAAAAGAATGCAGAGCTGAAGACTGATCAAGACTAGGTAGAGTTATTCAGTGAAGTCTTAAAATAACCATGTAGGATAATAGATTCAGCTACCTATGCGGAGTGAGTATACTAAAAATTATTCAGTTGATGTTCTTTTTAAGAACATGACTGTGTCATCTCCCAAAGTTTTCTTTTTCATTTGTAAAAATGAGCACAGTTAAGAAAAATAAGTGGACACATTGACCATATTCTACAGTATGTACTTCATTCTGTACCTATATCGACCATTTCATTACCAAGAGAAAGTCCAATCAAAAGTCCAATCAAATCACAATTGAGAGTTGGTAGATTCTTAAGACAACCAAGTATACTTCCATTTCATTCCCTAGAAAAATTCGTTAATTCTTCATGCGTGTGCTGATTACCCGTCAGAAAAAGTATGTTGTTTTACTAACCATCAAATGAAATAGTATTTGTAAAGTACGCATCCCAACGCCTGACACGTACTAGATGCTTAACAAATGCTTGTCCCCTTTTCTCCCTCCCCTCATAGCCGTGACAGAAAATCTTAATTTTGTCCTGGGTTTTATGAATTCTCAAAACTCTGAGTGTTCTGAGTTGGGATCACCTGCCTAGACACTGTAAGACCAATCAAAATATGTTATTAATGGTTTATAAGAATGAATTTTGGCATATTTAAGAAGGATGACAACCCCATCTCTGGCCTTCAGAAAAGGAGACAGAATAAATTACAAAGAATATACATGCTTCTTCAACTACACATCTTCTAGAGTTTTAGACTGACTAAATGACAAGGGTCCCTAAATCATCTTCACCAACTAGCTCATTCCCTATTGTGAATTTACTGTGGGACATTTCAACAGCCTTAACTGGGGATACTCTCTTTTTATTTCCTTTATACCTTCTAGCCTTTAAATTCAGCTCAGAACTCACTTCTTCCATAAAACATTCCCTTTGATAGCAGTCAAGAAAACCACTTGGATGTTTCTGTGATCTCATTGATGGGGTTTCGGTGGTGCATACAGATCAATACCTAGATTTCTCATCATTTGGATTTGTAGCCTATGCCCTTCCCTAAACCCATCCCATAATCTAGAGGCTTTATTTTCTTTATGTTTCACATATACCAATGCAACACTTGATGTATCCACCTTTTATCTCTGACCTCTACTCCATGTCTGCCCCACCTCTTTTTTTTTTTTTGTCACGTAAGTACAACAATCCTCTAATATTTTCTTAATTCCATTCAATGAGAAGTCAGGCTTTGGTTACCTTCTGGAGAGTGAGAATAATGTGTACAATTAAAAATATAGAAGCAAAGGAGGATATTTCAGGACAGAGCAGATGTGATATACTTCTTAGCCATCAGAAACCAGAAAGGAAAGTCTCAAGGTCAGAAACCCCAAGGTAAAGGCAGCGGGCTCTCTTTGCTAAGGCTTATTCTTGATACTATTTCCCTGCTCCCTGAGGAAAAATGTTAAGAAGCAATTAGAGGCTCTAAAGACCTGAAAGAAAGATCTATGTACATATTAGGAAAGGCCCTGTATGTATCAAAATATAGTAACTCTCTTTTGCATGGTGAAGGACTGGAAACTAAAGTCTTGCCCATTCGGTGGGGAATGGCAGAATAAATTATAGTATATGAATATAATATAATACAGTTTGGCAGAAGAAATGATGAAAGGAACAGTTCAGAAAAACCTGAGAAGACTTGTGTGTAATCACACAGAATGAAGTGAGCAGAACTAGGAGAACAATTCCTATGATAAAATATTATAAAGAAAAACAATTTTGAAAGACTTAAGAACACTAATCAGTGCAATGATTAACCACAATCTCAGAGAGCAGCTAGGAGGTGCAATGGATAGAACACCAGGCCTGTTGTCAGGAAGACTTGAGTTAAAGTCTGGCCTCAGACATTGCGCTTAGCATATATATTATACATAGTAAATGCTATATAAATCCTAGCTATCAATAGTTAGCATTTATATAGCACTTTAAGGTTTGCAAAGCACTTTACAAATATTACCTCATTCGATCCCCACAGTAATCTTGGGAGGTAGGTGCTATTATTTCCATTTTACAGTGGAGGAAACTGACCCAGACACAGGTTGAGTGACTTTCCCAGGGTCACAAGCAAGCTTTGGATTTGAACATGCGTCTTCTTAACTCTAGGTCCAAGTGCTCTGTCCACTGCACCACCTCCTGACGGAGAGCTGATGGACTCAAGGATACAGAATGAAACGTTTTTTGGATATGGCAACTATAAGAATTTGTTTTGCTTTACAATATATGTTTGTTACAAGGGTTTTCCTTTTTCAATTGCAGAAAACATAAGAGGGAAAGAAAAAAATTAATTAAAAAACAATTCTGAATTTAAAAAAAAGTAGAAAGAAGCAAACAAAAAAAGACAACAGATAGAAATCCATGCCAGCAACAGAATGCTAAGCAGAAGGGTATTGGACCCTGAATCTATGCCCTACACTGTGAAGAGAAGCTGAGATCCAAGTTCCTGATACTCTGTTTAATGGTTGGCCCTACTGGAAGCATGAGCTAAACATCATTGAGAGAACCACATTGTGTTTCTTATTCTCCTTTGACTGATCTCTGGACTAATTGCCACTAGAAACTAAACAATACAAAATATGTCTTCCCTGGAATTCCTGAGTTCAGAATGGTCTACATACTGTCAAGGGTGGGTGGGGGATTGGGGTTGAGAGAGAAGGGTCCCTGGGTCTAGGAGAAGCATTAGGAGTGAGTGTGGAAGATGTTTTATTATGTACTATTTTATCACTTTTATTGATTCTATGTGAGGAATAAAGCACTGTATACCAATTGAGCATATTTTTTCTTTCTCTGTGGTAAAGTGACTCCATAATTCTAAAGTCATGTAACTAGAGCTTTCATGAAATACCTCAAGTTCAGGGAGAGTTGAGGTTTTGTCAGCAGGGTGGAGACTTAAGAGCTAATTCTATTTGGATAGATATACATTAAGCACTTTCCCTAGATTAATAAGATGCTGTTCTCATCCAGAAAGAGGCATTTCCAGAGAACAGAAGGGTATCTACTTTTTTGAGGCCTATAGAGAGCTTGATACTACCCCAGTATATTTACTTCTGTGAGGTGGAGCGCATAAGCACCCGGGGGACTGTGAAATTTCCTTGCACTTGATCCTTCCTGTTGACTAGAATCGAATTAGTGTCTAGCAGCACTCACTGCCTGATGATTAAATACATCCTGGATGATGGCTTTTCCATAGCTTCTTGGCACATCATTAGTAATACACTGTAGCCTATTCATACTCGCCATGCATCTTGGCATTGTTCTTTGCAAATTGTTATTTTGATCACCAGTAATTTTGATTTTAAAAATCCAAGAAAACTATAGTGGGAATAATTTGTTTTCCAAAAAAGAATGAGCACAACCAAATTAATTTCCTTTAAGAATGATCATTATAGGGGCAGGTAGGTGGTGCAGTGGATAGAGCTCCAGCCTTGGAGTCAGGAGGACTTGAGTTCAAAACCAGCCTCAGACACTTGACACTTACTAGCTGTGTGGCCTTAACCCCCATTGCTTCACAAAAAAAAAAAAAGAATGATCATATACTGTATACTATTATCTGTCAACTTTTTTAAACAAAATTATAAAAATCATAGTAATTTCTCAAACATAGATTTACAAATAGCCACATGGTCCATGGCCTTTTGAAATGTGAGTCCATTTTTTAAGCAAACCATCCAGTGATACTCAGGCTTCAGCTTTTTAACATGACACGCGCAGCTCAGACTTAATTTCTTTAGAGAACTTACATCGATTTTGGACTTTCTAGTTTATGTAGTAGTCATATGATTTCTCTGGCCTATAGTTAATAGCAAATGTGGTACCAGTTACAAAACTACATCAATACTTTGTTCCAAGACATTTTGTCTTCATATTTATAAACTAGTTTTCTTTTATTTCATCTGTACTTTTCTTTTCTTCTTGTCTCTCATGCCTTTCTACCCAGCTATGATATACTAATATCTTTCTCTCTTGTAGCGCTTATTATAATGTTATAAAAGTTACACTGGATATTCTTTTCCATTTTTTAAAATTTGATCTCTGTACTGTACCCAAGACAGTGCCTTGCATATAAGTATTTAATAAATGTGTGTTGAGATAATATATTTTAATTAATCATTGAATCAACATAATTATATCAATTTTTTAAAATACTACAATACAAATGAGATGTATTTCCAACTTCAGTGAGTTCCTGTGCTATTTTCTTTTAAAAATATTTTTAACAAAGAATTATTTACCAGGTTTAAGCATAGTCTTATTAAATGTTATTGTTGCTGGAAGAAATTTCAGGGCAATGCTTCTTCAGGCTGGACCCAAAGAGATTTGATAGCTCCACATATGTGTTCTTTGGTATGTGATTTCTTTTTGTTAACTGGAAGAAAGGAATATTGTTATATAAGAAAGGAACACTGTGCTGACGTTTGAACTGCCTTCTTAATCAGCACCCTGATCTGCCTGAGGATTTTATTTTGCATTTTATAGTGTTATTAAGTATGCATTTTCTTCCACCCACTCTGCTCTTAGTGCTTCTTTATTAAGAGGCTCCCTATGAGAGCACTTATGTAAAGTATGAACCTTGTATCAATATAGTACCACCACATCACTGGACTAGGAAGGTCATTCTGTCTCTTGAATTCCATTAGCTGTTATTGATGGTGCACAATAGAGGACCAATCTTGTTTACTGGGATAACCAGGTTTGAAGAATCTTCTTAGTAAGTAATTTAGCCCTTCCACCTTGACATAATCCCCCTGATTCTTTTTCTCTCTAAATTCTGAAAATCTGGCAGTGTTCATATCCTTAGTGTAATCTTAAACAACAAAGGCTGAAAATTATTGGCCTTTGCTGTACTAGCAGTATATCAAATTCAGGGGCATTCAAAGATGAGACCTAGGACCTTTACATCTTTCACACTGACAATAGACCAGGAAGCTAACAATAGGGGGGAAAAAAGCTCATCAGCATCATGGGACAGCTAAATAGGTAAATAGGACATCTCTTGAATATGCCCCCTTCTCCCCTCAGACATTGCCTCCATCCTGGTTCAGTACCTTATCATTTCGTGATTGGACTATTACAATATCCTGCTGGTGGGTCTAGCTGTCTTAGATCTCTCTCCACTACAATTTATCCTTCATTCAACCACTGAAGTTATTTTCCTAAGGCACAGGTCCAACTATGTCACCCCCTACTCAAACTGTGGTAGCTCCCTATCATTTCCAAGATCAAATATAAAATCTTTCATTTGACCTTCAAAAACCTACATTACCTCTACTCTCCCCCCCAACCTTCTAGTCTTCTTACACTTTACATTCTCCACCCCTCCCAACATTCTCTTCAATCAAGTGACATTGGCCTCCTCAGAACTCCATGAATAAGACACACTCTCTCTCTAGGCGCTGGGCATTTTCTCTGGCTGTCCTTTATGCCTGGAATGCTCTCCCTACTAATGTCTTCCTCCTGACATTTCTAGCTTCCTTCATGTCCCACCTAAATTCCCCAAAAGGCTTTTACAGGAAGCCTTTCCCAACCTCTCTTAATTCTAGTGCTTTTCCCCTCTTTTAATTGTTACGTATTTATGTTTGTATATATTTGCTCACTTATTGTCTTTTCCATTACTCTGTGAGCTCCTTGAGTGTGGGGATTATGTGTTGGTCTCTTTTTGTACCCCTAGGGCTTAGCACAGTGCCTGGCACATAGTAGGTACTTGACAAATGCTTATGGGGCAGCTAGGTGGCACAGTGGATAGAGCATGGGACTCTGGATTCAGGAGGACCTGAGTTCAAATCCAGCCTCAGACACATAACACTTACTAGCTGTGTGACCCTGGGCAAGTCACTTAACCCCATTGCCTAGCCAAAAACAAACAAACAAACCCCAAAAAACCAAATGCTTATTGACTGAATGGGTGTCAATATAGGACCTGTGGTCACTTTTGGACATGCTTTCCAATACAAATGATAATAAGAGTTCAGTATCCACAATTACATGCCATTATTGATTAAGGGACGTTAGATTTTCCTTCTTTGTCCCCGCAATAACCTTTTAATTCAACTCAATATAATTAAAAATTTACATGGTACATGCAAAGGCCCAGTGTTCTGGCATTTGAGAGAAAAAAATACATATTACCTAAGAAACTTCTTTATAATCCAACAGGAGAGAAAGAAATGGGAATCACAGGATTTAGAATTTAAAGAGAACTTAGAGATCACTTTGTCTAATGCTTCACTTTTTAGATGAGAAAACTATGGCCCATAGAGGTTAAGGGACTTGATCAAGGTCACACAGATAGTAAATAGAAAACCCAGGTCCTCCAATTTCAAATCCAATGCTCTTTCCACAATGCTTTTTTCCTTCATGTACCTAAGCTGTGATTTGACTGATATGGGAAACACTAAGGTCAAGAAATTCCTACTTTATCAGTGCAGGTTGGCATCTTCTTTGCAGTTTATACCCTTAGAGAGCTGCCTAGGGCATTGAGAAGCTAGTTAACTTGCCCAGAGCTACACAGCCACTTGTTCCCAAGGTGGGACATAAACCCAGATCTTCTTGGCTTTAAGGCCAGGTTTCTATACAACTCTCTTACATGAGTACTTCTGCCGTAAGAAATGGCACATATGAAGTTCTTTGAGAGCCAGGACTTTCATATTCTGTCTTCATGTCTCTGGCACCTAGCACAGTGCCTGGAACAAATTAAGAGTTTAATGAATGTTTGTTGATTGCTATGAATAATTTAAGGAAATATGGGAAACTGGGAATTTGTCCAGCAATTCTGGAAAGCAATTTGGAACCATGACCAAAAAGTCAGTAAATTGTGCATACCCCTTTGATCTAGCAATACTTCTGCTATGCCTATACACCAAAGAGATAAAAAAAATTATTCATGTAATAGAATATTATTGTAGTATAAGAAATTATAAAAAGGATAATTTCAGGGAAGACTTGTGTGAAGACAAATGATGCCTTTGAACTTAAATATTTTATATTTTGACATAAAATATTTTATTTTATTATTTTTATTTATTTTTTGTTTTATTAATTTATTATTAGTTATTTTGGTTTTGAAATTTTTTAAAAATATATTTTAAAAGGAAAGCAAGCTGTATATACTACAGAGTTGTAGCATCATGTTTTTAAAAAACAGGATAAGAACAGGAGTGATGAAAATGATGTCAAATGAAGAAATAAGAATCCTAACAACAGGATACATGCTGAAGATGAATAACAAAAATACTAATGATAATAATAACTCAAAGTCCAATCAATCATCTGTACT